AATTAATTCAGGAACGAAAGAGAGAAGACCTCGTTTTTAAAATTCTTGTTGAATCACTTATTAGGAATAAAAGTAGTATACAAATAGGAATTCTGCATCACGGGCCCCGTCGGGCTGCCCTGGGCCCGTAGGGGAGGGGGCGTTCTACAACATCGAGGCTCGAGTTCCCTTCTGAGCAAAAGGGGGTTATTTTTAGGGGGTACTTTTCATCCTCCCTCGGATTCGGCCGGATGACGTCATGGTTTATTTTGATCATCGTTCGTCTGTATTTTATAGTCACGAAGTAGTTCACTATCGACATAATGAAAAAAAATTCCCTCATTATGTTTAATTTGCGTCACAGTTCCATTTGTTATTCCTAATTTATTCTATGTCTTCAGATTGATGGTAAGTGCGGTTTTTTTGTTCACTTGATCTTTTGGTCTGCGTGATTCAGTTGGATTCGCCTCACTGCAACTGTCGCTGCAATATACGCATGCAATTAATGAATAAACGTCATGCATCATGAGAAATTTCATTATATTATATTTATTTCGATCTCGTATTTGTAAGAAATGTTTGACGGTATTTTAGTTATACTCAAAATTTTCTAAGTCGCCCAAAATCGTAAATTACGGCCTCGATTCTGCAGTTTGCGGTTTCTCTGCTCGGGTAGAAGATCATATAGACAATGACTATCATCAGACGTGAATTTGTTAAACTTGCTTTATTGTTCATCATTAAATGTTCCAGTTATCAATCAACTGATTACATCTATTGAAATTCATTACCAGCCTTCAATGAAGGGCTATCTGATTGCTCTTGGTTTTCCATCATCAGCATATATTTCTATAGGACTAACACTTGCCATTCAGCTCAAGTAAAGAAATCACACTAGACCTAGCTGAAATAAAGTTTAGTAAAAGTAACTGTGTAAGAAATTTAGAAATCATAAAAGCATTAATTATCATTACTTTTGTACTTCCTTGCTTAGTGATGGCCTCGGCAAGCTGGTGCAAAGAAACAGATGAAAAGATCAACTACACCAAGCTTTGTAGGTTGCTAGTCGATGGAGGCACACAAGCAGTTTGTTCTGTATTTGATGGTAAATATCCACCATATTTATTGAAAGCCTTCTTAAATGCTTACAAGACAACACTACAAAAGCTGAAGAAACCAAAAGGGAATGTACTGAATAACGAGCAATGGGACAAACTGTATCCACCAAATGGGAGCGACCCTCAATCTAAAGACTTTGATATCACTCTACTGTTTGTTCTTCTAAGAAATATTTGTGGACTTGCACCACCAGCATATGGATGGGATGTCTTACCACCTGTAGCAGACAACTCACTAGAGGCTAACCTTGCCAGGATAAAGTACTACAGAAACAATGCAATAGCACACAAACCAAATACTGACATCAATGATGATGACTTTGAAAAACACTGGCAAGATATCTCATCTGCTCTCCTATCACTGGGACTGAGTCAAGATGACATAGATGATTTGAAGTCTGCTTCTTTGGGAGTGAAAGACTACAAGCAGTTACTCAACGATTGGTATATATCAGATAAGGATGTCAAAACACAGCTACAGGATCTGAAGTCACACACAGCAGACCTTAAGTCAGACACAGCAGACCTCAAGTCAGACACAGCAGTCCTCAAGTCAGACACAGCAGACCTCAAGTCAGACACAGCAGACCTCAAGTCAGACACAGCAGACCTCAAGTCAGACACAGCAAATATTAAGGACAAAGTAGATGACGTCTGGAATGTGTGTATCGAAGCACGACAAATSAATCAACAGATCCAAGAGCTGGCTATTTCCGACTTTAGACCAGAAATAAATACAAAATGTAAGGTTTTCCACCCAAACACTCGCCAGTGGATTCTAGGTAAAGTCAAATCCCATGTTGACAGTGACCAACCAGACTCGCGTATAATGCTAATCACCGCTGGTCCAGGTATGGGCAAATCATCTCTTGCTGCTAAGATCTGTCAGACATACAAGGATCTTGGATGTCTTGCAGGATGTCACTTCTTTCAGTTCAGTAACTCTACTAGAAACAATCCAAGGTTGATGCTGCAGTCCATAGCAAGGCAGATGTGTGGCACTGTTACTGGTTATCGAGAGGCCTTAGAAAACAAACTGCGAACAGATTTGGGTAAGAAGGTTTCCGAGATGAACTGTGAGGAACTGTTAACCATTTTGCTGGAGGAACCATTGTGTAACGTGGAACAAAAAGACTCTCACTTGGTTGTTGTTATAGATGCTCTAGACGAGTGTTCGCATGATCCAAAAGATGAACTACTAAAGACATTAAGGAAAAAACTGTCATGCTTCCCTTCATGGCTTCGATTTATTCTAACCAGTAGACCATCAACAAATACCTCTGCAATTGGTTCAATTGTTGCTGTACAAATGAGACCAGAAGATCAATCTAATATCAAAGATCTTAAAACATTTTTGAGCTTCGAGCTTAAAGCCCTCTATCCACAATGCGAAAATGACGACAATGCAAATCTTGTAAAGAACCTAGTGGAAATGACAAAAGGTTTGTTCTTAGTGGCTTTCTTTGTCATCGACTATTTGAAAAGAGAAAATGTTGCATCACCGGAGAAAGTTTTGCAGCTGTTTCCTAATGGGATCTCATCAGTGTATGAGGATTATTTCTCTCGTCTTAAAGGAGTATTACTACCTTACCTATCAGAGAAGGCAGGGTTCTACAAGATGCTTGAAGCTGTTGTGGCAACCGAAAACCCTTTGCCAAAGAACATGTTTTACAATATTCTTTGTCTCAAGAGCGAGCGTGAAGTCCCACGCGAAGAGAAAATGAAAAGAAAAGATGCGTTGAACTCACTMCATTGGTTGTTTCCTGTTGAGGGGGATCACGTGACAGCATTTCACAAGTCAGTATTTGATTGGTTGATCCTTCAAGAAGATGAAGAACATGACTTCAGTGTTCGTGTAGAAGACGGGGAAGAAGTACTTGCCAGTCAGTGTAATGATGTCTTGGGTGACATACGAAACGGAAAAAAAGATCTGGACAAACCATTGTATCTTACAGACAGCGAGAAGTATGCTCTAAGATTTCTTTGCCACCTTCTAGGTAAACGCTCATCAATAGTCAAAGAAGATAAGTATGGATTCTTTTCTAACATTTACCTCCTGACTGCATTAAATATTGGAAACACCATTATTGGCAATCATGAAGACATATCTAGTCCTTTATATGAAATACGTGAATGTTTTACAATGTGTTTTCCTTCGTACAGCCGTTTTCACCTCCCTTCTTGCCGCTTTTTTCGTGACATTTCATTTGGTCGTTACCTTGCATTCGTTCATCAAGCTGCGCATGCGAAGGGATTAAGTCTAGAAACACCGCCAAAACCACTTTTTCCTTATTTTGATGAGATTTTAATGCAGACTACAAAGTCCACACACGGTGTACTAGAGTATCTACTTAAATGTAAGGATGGGTTTATAGCTGTTTTCCTATATTGTTCAGTTACACTGTCAACTGCAGTATATACGTTCCACCTTGATGGGCGCCTTATCACGTCGAAATCCTTTCCTGGCAAAAGGCTCATAACCACCTCACCGAGCATCAACTTCATCCTTGTTGCCCAAAAAGATGGGAACAAGATTGAGTTATTAGACGCAACAACATTTGAAGTGATCAGTCAATACAAGTTTCCCCATGATGCAATGCAAACATGTCACGTGTTTGGAAACCATCAGGGTTGCTTCGTTGTCATCAAGGGCTGTCATGACAACAAGGTCTATGTCATTGAAGGACTAACGGGACATTTACATAACATCATTACAGTGAGTGAAGATAGTACTGTAATGGACGTTAGCTGCAAAGGCCATATTGTGGTGACAAGAACATGGAAACGCGACGAGCCAGAAAATGTAAATACCTTTACCACTAAAGATGGTGAAGTAGAGATGATGAATTGGAGGATTGAGAATATTCTGTCCGGTATTCAGACACCACCTAAAGAGAACAATATCTACAACTACCGAGAAATGCTACTATATCACTATGACAGGACAAAGCAGCCCATTTCCGTGTACCCACTACTAGAAAAGATATGCATTTGTATGTCACACTATCCGGTCCGTCCTTATTTAGTAGTATAGGGGATGGGGGTTCCAGCGCAACGACAACCGGAGGATTACCCGCCTAAAGTACCCCCCTCGATTCGTACCGCGATTACC